CATGATTAAAATTCACAATAATTGCCAAAAGAAACATCGTCAAAGGTAAAAATTGCCAGGATGATATCCAATTGAAATCTAGCCTACAATCACATATATAAACAAAAGAATATGAACAAATAACAGAAGAATTTTTGCAATTTAAAACACATTTGCAGCCAAAATTCATTGAATTTAATGCTCAAGTGCACAAGATTGCGAACATTTCCATCAAAATGAAGCAACGAGAAATATTTATGACTTGCAAATTTGTTTCCTTCTAACATAGCAATAGACTCTTAGTAGGGAACAATATGGAATATGGCAGTCTGAGCACAAGGTAGGGAAGACATTTAAACTCTATCATGGCGGTAGACTCTTTAACAGGAAACAAGATGGAAAATGGCATCCAAACACAAAGGAGGCAAGACATTTAAACTCTATTAGAAGCCAAAATAAACTATATGCATAAATCTTTTAGTTGACACATAGAAGTATCCAGTTAAATAAAAGTTGCTTGATCTCCACAACAATATGCTCTGCATAGTGAATTAAACACCAGAAGGGTATCCAACTCTTTCCAAACGGGATTATAATTTACACAATCTAACAGTACACTGCATGGTTCTCAAAATATCTTTATGCACAGGTGTTAATCAAACTCTCAAATTCCATTTTGTACAATCCTTCTTTAAGTTTCCTCATATTCTCTTCTTCTAAACATGAGAGATCATGCCATGTCTTACTTCAAAAGGCTGTATATGGAAGAGGTAGAATGCAGACCTAAATTAAATGGTCTGCAGTTTGATCACTTAAGACACTTTGGACAAGCTGCAGCTCGAAGCTAAGTTCTCAGAAGCTGAAATTCATAGCTGCCTCAAGGAATGTAACGAGGACAAAGCTCCCAGATCAGATGGCTTCAATTTCAAATTTCTGCAACTTTACTGGGAGGTTTTCAAAACTGATATTCTTGTCTTTTTCAATGACTTTCACAAAAATGGCTCCATGGTTAGATCTTTGAACTTCACTTTCATTGTCATGATCCCCAAAAAACCAGGAGCCAAAAACATCAAAGATTTTCGCCCAATAAGCCTAGTGGGATGTATTTACCAGCTTCTCTCAAAAGTCCTTTCTAAGAGGTTATCAAATTGCCTTCACAAGATCATTGGTGCAAGTCAGTTGGCTTCTATATCCGGGAGACAAATTACTGATGCTATTCTAACTACTAATGAGGTGATGGATGATATCTACATAAATAATAAAAAAGAGGTCCTTTGCAAATTAGATATGGAAAAAGCATCTGATCATGTTTCATGGAATTTTATCGAATATTTGTTGGACAAAATGAGGTTTGGTGAAAAATGGCAGAGGTGGATTCGAACTTTTATTTCCACGTCTAGTTTCACTGTTATGGTTAATGGTGGCCCCTCCAATTTCTTTCAGCCTTCAAGGGAATTGAGACAAGGTGACCCACTATCCCCATTATTATTCATAATTGTTATGGAATGATTAAACAAACTTATAGAAAAAGCCAGAACTCTACAGCTTCTAAGGGGTATCGAAGTGGGTAATTTCGGCTCAAAAATCAAAATCACACATCTCTTCTTTGCTGACGACACCCTTATGTTTTGTCGACCGGACGTCAATTCCCTTCTCACTGTAAGGTGTATTCTTCTATGCTTTCAAGCTATCTCTGGACTTCAAATTAACTTGCAAAAATCTGAACTTGTGGAGATTGGTAATGAAGGCAATGGACGGTCTCTGGCTCAGGTTTTAAATTGCAGAACCGCTAATCTACCATCATATATTTGGGAATGCCTCTCGGTGCTCGCTACAAAGATCGGAGAAGTTGGGACCCAATTATTGAATCTGTTGAGAATAAGCTTGCTGGGTGGAAAAGAAACTTTCTCTCAAAGGGAGGTAGATTAACACTCATAAAAAGCACTCTATCGAATCTTCCGATTTATTTTCTCTCTGTTTTGTGCATCACTAAAACTATCACAAAAAAATTGGAAGTAATACAAAATCGTTTCCTTTGGGGTGATGAGGTCAACAAAAGGAAAATCCACCTTGTCAGATGGGAGGAGCTCAAAAAACTTGTCGCTGCTGGAGGATTGGATATTAAATCTGTCATCACATTTAACCAAGCTTTACTTAGTAAATGGACTTAGCGTTTTTGGAACAAAGAAAATAGCCTTTAGAGAAATCTAATTGTCCATAAATGGTATAGGGAAGACTTGCATAATTCCAACTTTCTGGATCACAGCATACATGGCTTCAGTCTATGGAAGAGTATAAAACAGGTGGGGAATTCTATATCTAACTTTTCCAGGTGGTCTATAGGTAATGGTATGAAGATCAGATTTTGGAAAGATGTTTGGATTGGACATGATGCTGATAATGAGCAAGGAATATCTGTCTTTCTACGAAATAGGATGTATTGAACTCATAATTCATTAGATACTTTTTATGAATGTCAACTAAGTATTGTAAGTAAATTGTTCCTGCTTGTTCAATCATTTGATAATTAGAGTCATTCTTTAATAAATGATCACTATGAGTCAGACTCAATAGAATTTGATCAATTCTTTTTTCTGCCGTTAAGGTGGAGAACAGAACCAAGAATTTTTTTTCTTTATCATCAATCGAATCATTGTTCGCGACCCAGGATTCTATTTTATCATCAATCCAATCACCGCTCACGTTTTTTCTTTTTCTTATCAATGAATAGATCTCTTTACTTGTATGACTTAGATGTCTCGTATTTCTCGAAAAAGTGATTCGATTGATAGGATTTCGTAAGATACTTATGAAATCGATGATATCGATGAGATTGATATTCAAATATTTCTTCTTAGAACGTGTTGATTTGACCCCATAAGTAGGATCACTACCCCATAGCATGTTGCCGCCAGAACCCCGTATTTCTTCTAGAGAATCTCCTAATTGTTCCAGAGCAACTAGAAAGAGATTTTTTAACCAGAAAGAATTCAGTTCAGATGTAGGATACCTATCCAGAAGTTTTCGCAACTCAATCATGTATGATGGAATCATCAAAAATTTGACTTTTTCAAACTCTGTCTGTAACTCACTATAGGCTCGGAAAACAAAGAGAAGATGTGTACGAACGAAATATCCAACAACAAGAAAAAGGAAAAGGATTGAACAGAGGAACTCCCGAACATCTAGCGATATCAGATGTGTCGATATCAATGGTGACTCATTATTTCAATGAATCATTTCTTCGGACAGGAGAGGATTATGTAAATACTTACTCGAAATCTCACTTATCATATTCCATTATGGAAGACAATTTTTTCTGAAGAATTCGCCATGATATATCTGATCCATACATAATATCATGAAAAATGGATACAAATTTATTACTACTACTTAGTATCGGTAATAGGTCTGAAAAAGTATCTAAAAATATCAAATTTAGATATTTGTACCCTGTCGAAGTAAGGAACCATGACATATATGTTTGGACTAGATTCCATTTTGAGAAAGCTGAAAAAGCACTATCTCGTTGAAAGGTTCTATCTATCTGCTCTTTCTCAACACATTTCTTTAGACAAATACTCCGTTTTTTCCTCTTTTCGGATGGTAAATATTTATCAGAACATGGAGTGTGAATCAAACCCATGTTTGAATTGAAATTGAGATATTAATGCAAGTTCTTCTCTTCTGAATCAGATAGATTCATATCTGAAAGAGGTTGATAATAAGTTCTTTCAAAATTGACTATTTGTCCCTTTGTTATAGGTGTTCCAGAAATGTCTGCAATCGAATAAATAGCTCTACGAACTAATGGATCGGATCAAATTGCAAAATAGAAAGATTTGTATAAGTTATACATTTCGTCACCACTTTGTGAAAAATCGTTAGATATGAATATGTTAGATACCTGTGACTCGATTGGTGAAGGTGAAATAGTATCTCTCTCCAAAAAAAGCATTTTTTCTTATCACTGCACAAAGAAAATATTTTTTGCGAATGAACAAGATATTAAAGAATTGTCCATACGTAAAATTATAATTATTGATACGGGCCTTTTCCACTTGCAGTATACATTTCTCAGCATTTTTGCTATTTCCAGGGGGGAAAAATGCCCTCATTGCCCATATTCTAAGGACAGAATCTATTGGGGACTGGAACTTGGCCCTATAGAGGAATCTTCAAGACTGGGAGATGGAAGAGTTTCTAAATCTGGTTCAGATTCTGTCCACCACCAGATTGAACAACAACGAGGATAAATTA